ATTGGTAAACCAAGTATTTTTGAAGATTCCTATGAAATGGAAGTTACATTAAATTTGTGTTTCAGAAACACTGACACTTTAAAAGTGAAATCTGCTCCCCAAGACTCTGGCATCTGGTAATTGAAATTGACAATAATGGGCCTCAGTAAAATTGACAAGAATCACCAGGTGCCAGAGTTTCTGAAATCTATGCCTTCAGGGCAGCCCTACGATGTTATGAGAATCTGGAATCCTGGTCTGTCAGGCCCAGCCCAGTGCCAGTCAGCATGGTGGGAAGCCCAAAGCCATGAACTGTTCAGGCTCCTTAGTAGCCCACTAGGTGAGATAAGAAACCTGCCAGATTTCCAGGGGAAACGTGATTTGTTGAAAGTCTTGTTGAGCCCAAAACATTTCAAGTACTATGAACCAGCATTTTCCAACAGTCAACAAAGAATTAAAAAGAAAGTCTAGGAGACACAGCATGCTGGAGAGAGAGAGGGGAAAAAAAAACGGTGACATGCAAGCCTGCTTTCCCAACCCTAGCTGGCTAAAAGACAGACTGATCCTGGGATTCCTTCACAAGGGTTATTCTTGGACTCACTGTTCATGTTATATATGGCTAGATGCTGTGTGATATATATGACATTTCTCCTTTCCTGAAGCATCTGAAGGTGGGAGAAACGGTCTTCTTTCTCTTCCCACTTTCTTAGCTGCTAGGGAAGGGGATAGGAGATGGTAAGTTTCTTATCCCATCTTTTCCTTTGTTTAAGTTGAGGGAAGTTACGTTGCTTAAGGGTATGAAAAAGTCAACGCCTGAGCAATATAAGTTACATTAACTTTAAGTGGTGTCTACACTCACTATGCTGGTGGGAAACACTCTTCAACCAACATAGATTCTACCATTCATTGATGTGGAGTAATTATGGCAAGAAAGGAGTACTCTTCCATCAGCAGAGTGAGTCTTCATGAGACACGCTACAGCTATGCAGCTGCACCGACGCAAAGCTGGTCTACCTTATTGTGCGTCATCCTTTACAATAATTTATATTTAAGCTTGCATACATAAAACAGGATCCTGGTCTTATTTAGTCTTTTCCCAAATGCACATACTTTTAGCTCCTCATGTCTAGCCCCTCTTCTCTTAAATTCTACTTCTGGACTCTGTATGCTAGTTCAAGCAAACTTATCCCTAATTCAGAAGTCTCATGATCCTCCTTCAGGGGTATGTTTGTGAGTTAAAGCACATTTCTTCACTCTCGTTCCAAAGTTTCATAGTCTTGTTTCTTCAGCTAGTTCAAGAACATTTCTTCCTCATTCAGGAGCCCCACATTCCTCCATAGGACCTATGTGCTAATTTCAAGCTCCATGCAGCCTTAACCAGGATCCCCTCACTGGTCCATTTGTAATTCCATCATTTTCCTTCTAGGCTGGCACAAGTCAGGAGGCTGTCCACTGCTAGTATTTATCACATTTTCTCATACAACTTGTATCTAATTTAATCATTTTATGTAACACAGACATATACTGCTCTTTCCTAGAACTTATCCTGTTGGCTGGAAGAGAAGGAAGGCCGAGCCCCACACTATACCAAAAGGCTCCAGGTTCTGGGCCCTTAAAGAAACAGCAGCTTGGGTTTTCTCCAAAATTACTTCCTCTCTCGCTCTCTTAGCATCTGCCTCTGCTCATCCCAGGATCTTCATACATTCCAGAAGTCCAGGATCTTTAAAGAGCCACACCATGAAATCAGAGTTGGTTAATGTCTAGAGCCTATTACCTTGAAGTAGGCAGAGAAGACAGTCCCCTTGCTAGACTAACGTAACTTTCACTGGACTGGGGGATTACACAATCAGAGCAAGATAAATACTATAACTACACACATTTGGAATACGGTTATCACAATGCAATGAAGCAACAGACAGAGTCACAGACACAACCATACACTAAAACCCCAATTATAATATCACTTACCCAATAAATAAAGTATTAGCATGATTTCATGCCATCTGGTTTCTAGCTTATGAAGATAAGAACAAACAAACAGAGTGTCAAGCCAATGGGTCCATCTAGCCCAGTATTCTGTAGTCCAACAGTGGCCAATGTAACCAGTTGGATATGACCCCTCTCCCTTTTTCCCCACTGCTAGCTAGCTGACCATACCCCTCGGTTTTCCCCTTTTCCTTGACCCTGGACCTGTTAGCTACAGTTTGTTAGGTGTCAAGCAAAACAATTTATGTTAGGTTTTTTACTATGGATTCTTGTTACTCAAGGCCATGAGTCGAACTTTGGCTACAAACTATAATCATGCTTAATGTATGCTTATGAATATACATGTAGTCTATGGAATGAGTGTGAAGGAGGAATACCCAATCAAAGGCAGTTTAGGATCTGTAACCTTTCAAGGCAAACAAAGATCCTGCAAAGTGTATAAATCAACTGATGAGCGGCCAGGAAAAGCTCCCCCCCATCCACCCTTGGACAAGGTGTAACAGCACAACAGAAACCTGGGACTGGGCCAGAGAAAGTAAAGTCTCCTGCAGATCTGAAGGGTTCTCCCAAGGAAACTCATGACCAAGTGTCCAGGAAGCTGAAACCTGGCCAGCACTCCAGCCACCAGCGAAATAGAAAGTAATCTACAACACACTTGAAGCTTGCCTCCAAACTGCCAGCATGAAAGGGGGGGGAGGTGGACAGGGGTGTCTGTGTGACCTTTGTTTTCTACCAGCCCTGTGCTTTTGGGAGCCAGGGAGTGACATTCATGGAAAACCATCCCCCTCCCTCAGGCCTCTGCTAGAATCAAAAAGACAAGGCAATGAAAAAACGGGAGAAAACATACCTAAACTGCTTCAGACAAGGGTGATACAATTAAGGAAACACTCCAGCCTCATTTGCATTAAAGATGGATCAGAGGGACATCTCATTAGCATACAGAATGGAGAGCAGCTCTTCCAGCAGGAACCGCATTGAACTATGGGATACCGAAAGCAGAGAAGCACTGCCTGATGGGAAATCTCTGCTCCAGATGCTAATGAACCCAGGCCTGCTCACACCCAAATTAGTCATCATCAGACCAATTCTAGTAATGGATCCTATTGACATGCAAAATACTGAAATTGCCTAGTTGCATAAACAGGCAGTTCCTAAAATTATCATCCACACAACCCCAACTCACCTGAGCACAATGGATTTGCTACATTTGCTTCTCCCCCACTCCCTAGAGCAATTTAATGCTCTTTTAAGAGGTTATTCAGCTTTCTGGAATCACGGAGAATGAAGTGCTATAGGTGATGAAAAAATAACCCTTACCAAGCTTACAGACAAACTACAGATGGGGCTGTGGAATCTCTGCCTGCCAGATCCATGGAGTGGTGAGGTCTGTCTCGGTCTCTCTCTCTCTCTCCCCGCCCCCCCATCCACTATCTCTCTAAGCAAAGCCTCCTGGCCCCGCCCTATGTAAACTGTTATATTGTTACCTAACATTTGTAATCACTTTCAATTTAGATTTAATATTGTAACTTTTTGATATCTATTCACTACTCAGAAATAAATATCTTTCATTGTTAAGCTGGTTGCTTCTCTCTCTCTCTCTTCCTCTTTTGCTCACTCTTCTTTAAGGGGTGTTGTTTTGGCTTCCCCATTCGCTCTGCAACCACGTTTCTTGTACCCAAGCTAAAGATCCCTGTAGTGCCCAAAATCCCGTGGGGTTTGCTCATCGTGTGGTTTATCAGTGAATGACTGTGGTGTGAAAGTGGGGGTTGCTGAACCTGGGGGCTTATGAGGATGGCAGCTTAAAGTGCTGTTTAATCCAGCCCACGGAGTCCAAAGGCACATGAGGGTGCAGTGTGGCATTGCTGTGAAACCCAGCCAGCTGAGTCCAGGGACATATGAGGGGGTCAGCTTGTGAGTGCTGAGTACCCAGTCCTCTCAGACGTGCTCTGACTAGTGTGTGTGAGTGTCTGTGTGTGTTGCTAAGGTGGGAAGAACCCCATCCTGAGGAACCTAGTTCCTGCAGGAGAGCTCCAGTGGGAGGGGGAATTGGCAGCAGGGAGAATTCAGCTCCATATGAGAGCCCAAGTAAGCACCAACAGCACACTGATAGAACTGTTAACCTTCCCCCAGTCCCATAAGGGTAACCCTGATAAATGAGCATACCCCAGAGTATTGGGCAAATCTGGTAACACAAATCTGGTAACACCTTACTCTTAAGAATCCGTACTAATAAACAATCCCAAAAGCAGTACTGCTCCAGCCCACCTTTGTTTGTTCCTCAGCAGATCTGAGGAAGTGCAACAGCTAATGTCAGGTGTTTTAGAGAGAATGAACAAAACAGCCAATCATCACCCATCGCTTGTTGTCCATTCCCAGCTTCTGGTATTTAGAGGCTAGGGACACCCAGGGCATAGTGTTGCATTGCTGACTATGCTGGCAATGCTGACCAGTGATAGGCCTATTCTCCATGAATTTATCTAATTCTCTTTTTTAAATCCCATTTATAATTTTGGCCTGATCTGCTGGCAATGAGTTCCATAGTTTCTTTATTGTGATGTTACCTGTTCATGAGTGACGAGTAATACTTGTTTGATAATAGTACTAACTCTTCAAATTCAAGTGTTCAATGTTTTAAATAGAATATTACAAAAATAAACTCACCCTTCTCCACAGACCGCATATTCCACACCGAAATTTTTACTATAACAACATGACCATGTCTGAATTTGTCAAAAATTGAACAAGGTCTATTGTTGAAAGAATACCTTTTTGTGTTCCTTGGCACTATAATATTTTGAGAAGTTTTACTCGAAAGAGCCTTTGCTTGCCATGCTACAGAATATTCACGTAACATATCAGAAAGCAGACAACTCCACAAAATAAGGCCCTGGCCATATATTTAATTTTATTACACAATTTCAAGGGGTAAAAGAAAAATCCTCCCTTTAAAACTGGCTTATCAGTTATTTAAAATGGAGACACAAGCCTTGCTAATCACACAGATTTAATTAAACAGTAAATAAAAGTTTTGTTACCTGCATTGATGCTCCTTCCACTCTTGCTACACAGGCCACTCTGTCTAGAAAAGTCACTGTCACGGGAACAGCAACAAAGAAGCCTTTAAAAAAGGCTTTAAGATATCTCTTCCCCAAGCCTTGAGCCTGTGCCATAATCTGAAATGATGAAGAAAGAAAATAGAAACACTGTAAAAACAAGTCTTAAACAATAGCAAAGTTGGTCTTTATAATCAAGCAATGAACACTCACTAATAAATTAACGACAACCTGTCAATGCTCATCAGCATCTGCTATGAAAAGACGAATGCATATAACAGAAAGAAAAGTTAGAAACCTGTAATGATTATAACAGACGTTATATATTTGCTGGTATAGACAAACGAAGTTTGATCTTCGGCATTTTCACATTTACCTTTTATCTAACTTAACTATTTTATGTGGCCTTTACTATTAGAAGCAAGTTTGATATAATGAGTAATAGTTAAGCCATTTGTTTAATGGAACTTTAACAATGACATAGCTAGATAAAACCCGGCTATATATACCTGTAGCAAAAAGCTTATCAACTATAAGGAAACAATACACTGGAACATAATGAATCAGAACACAATGTGAGTATTCCCAAATTATTTTCCCTGACATTATGAAATCTATGGCTAAGAAGAGAAACACTTTATCCATATGAAAGATGTCATTCATTTTGTGACACAAGACATATAAAAAGTTCGTCTATCACTCTTCCACTTTCACACAGTAACACATGCACACAAGACTGTGAAGCAAACACCATTGCAATTGTTTCAGACATCAGTCCCAATGCAGCAAGTGTTGACATATAGACTGTTTCAACTCACCACTTCATATCCAAGTCCCTGTCTTGATTGCTGAATTTTTATTCTCTCTCATCCTCATAATTCTATAATCCACCATTCCACACAACACAGATTGGTCAGTGCATCTTCCTTGTCTGGCAGCATAACCAAATCACCTCAGCCTTTCAATCCATACAATAAATACACTTTTCCACCATATTAAATTAAGGCTTCCTGTCAAACTTTCAACGCATTTCACAACCCTCCCTCTCCCTACTTATCCCCTATTCTTTTGATGTCCTCCCTGAATCCACCTTCCATTATACTGTCACTGTTTGTCTACTACTTCCACAAACATCTCCATACCTGGTTCTATCCCACTTTTCATGCTTTCCTGGAACTGATCTAAAAAACTACAGCTTTCTCCACTCGCAGAGTCTTTGAAAGCCACATCTACCATTATTAGGATGGCAATATTTCTCAAAGGGAAATAGGACACCCAGTGGTGCTGACCTGAGCCTCCCTCCCTTGTGCAAGCCGGGACTGGCAGCCCAGACCCACCATCCGGAGCATAGCATCACTGCTTGTCCCTTTACGCCCGGGGTTCCCAAACTGGGGGGCGTGCAGAAATTCCAGGGGGAGCATGAGGCGACCCAGCCCCTGGTCAACCTCCCCCCCTTCAAGTTTTGCTGCTATTTTTGTTTTTTGGACCCAGTCAGTTCCTTCCCCCCCCCCCTTTGCTCAACAAGTTTTGCTGGGGGTGGGGGGACATGAGGTTCTCTCAAAAAAAATCAAGAAGAGAGTGTCATGATTATAAGGGTTGGCCAGCAGCCTGGGGATTAAGGGGTTAATTACACCTAGCCAGGTGGAGTGACCAGTAGGAATGTAGGTGGGACTTTCAAACTGCGACAAAGGAATTGGGGTTTTTTCTTTTTCTCCTTTTGTCTCTCTGAGGGAGTCCTCTGCAGCTACAGAGAGGGACAAGCATGTCTCTCTCTCTCTCTCTCTCTCCAAGACACCATTCTTCATTTTCTGTAAGTAGGTAAAGTTTAGGTAGTTTCGTTAGGCTTTATTGTTTTAAGGGTTGGGTATGGGATCTGATATCTGGCACTGCTTAAGAGATGTTTGGCTTTTCTTTTTAACTAAGTTCTAGCCCATGGTGTAATTCCTCCATGAGTATATTTTGTTTGCAGTGCCAGTGCAGACCAGGGAGACGGGGAGCAAAGCTTTGGAGCACGCCCGCAGCGGGACAGCCCAAGCACGCCCGGGCTGTCCCGCTGCGGGTGTGCTCCAAGGCTTTGCTCCTGTCCCCCTGGTCTGCTGGGGGGGGTCCAGCCCTGCAGACCAGGGAGACGGGGAGCAGCTATTCTCGCCCCGGAGGACGGGGGCGGCGGACCACGGCGCATCTGGGCGTCCTGCCGCTCCCGTCCTCCGGGGCGAGAAAAGCCCCGTTCGTAACTGCGGATCCGGCATTGCTGATGTGGGAGACTGGGTGTGGGAGGAAGTGCAGGAGTGAGGGCCAGGGAGAAGACAGCTGACACTCCTACCTCCCCACCCACTCCCTGAGCTCCCCTTTCTCCCAATCCACTATCCTGAGATCCTCCTTACAAACACCCCTCAACCCTGACTACTGCACTCACTCCACATCTTCAGTCTCCTGTGCTGAGCCCCTAACAAGCCCCCACCTTGACTCTGTGCAAATCTTCCAGCAGAGCATCTGT